GGGGTAAAGTTTTGCTTTTGGGTATTATTTGCCGGTTGTCCCCTTTCAGCTTTCTTCCTTTTAAGGAAGCGTTCAGCCTGCTCTCCTCGCACCTTTAATTCCTTCCACGTCTTAGATGGTGCAGTGCCCATAGCTTCCAGTATATCTATGGAAAGGTTATTATGGCACGTTTGGAGGATGAACTCCTCCGTGACCGGGTCTCGACAGTTCATCGCCTTGTTTCGAAAGCGCTTAACAAAGTTCTCCACAAGCTCTCCATCTTTCTTCTTCTCTTCAAAGAGCGTTCCGATCGATACCCCCGTGTCATCGTCGAAGAAATTAGCGAGAAACATGCTTTCCATGTCGTCCCATGTATTTATACTTCCTGGTTTAAGCCGGCGGTACCAATCAAACGCAGCTGCGCGAAGGGTTCCTACGAACGATCGTACCATCAGAGGTTCGTTGCCCGAAATAATCCCCAGGTGGGACTTGAAGTAAATCAAGTGTTGGGTAGGGGAGCCCCTTCCATCGAACGGCGTGAAGTTAATCAAACTGAACTTTGGCGGGTATGGAATGGAGTCCCACTCCCTCGGGTAGGGACAGTGAATACCAGTCTTTTTTACTTCTTGGGCAGACATCAAAGCATTGATTTTGCTTTCCAAGTCTTTCATCTTAAGGTCTTCGCCTACCTCCCTCTTCTGGTGATTTTGAGGATGGGTATTGGTGCCACCCCCGGTATCGTTATTTCTAGTAGGACCACCCCCAGTGTTCTGGTCAACGGGAGGGTCATCAACATTGATATTTTCCTCCACTTCTGAGTCGCTATCTATCTGATTAGCAGTCGGACGACGGCTAGATTCACCGGGTTGATTTGTCAATTGCTGGAGTTGTTGGGCATGTAAATCTTTAACACGTTGTACTGCCATCTCCATTTCAATTTTAAAATCCTCTTTCTGCTTTGCCAAAGCTTCTTGAAGAAGTTGAGCCATCTGTTCAGTGGTGATCATGAATGACTCTCGAGTTTGTCCTGTACTAGACACAATGGCATCCGAAGCGATCGCAGAGTTGGCATCCGACGCCTCATCATCCGAGGACTGTCCTCTCTGAATTCTGTTGTAATCTCTAGGCCTAATAGCCTCGGTTCGTAGTCGAGTCAACCGTTGGGATATTTGCGAAAAAGGTTCAGGACTGTAGCGCCGCGTAGATTTTCCTTTTTCTGCCATGTTAACCGTGAATTCTGAGAATTCATGTTCCTGAACGGCCGGCTTTCTTTTACGGAAACGACTTGATTTGGGTCTTGGCGTTTCTGTAGAAAGTCTGTCAAACACCGAAGTCCTTTGCGAGGCAGTCTTGGAACAGTTACATTCTGACAATACCGCCCTAATAAGTTTAGTACATGGACAACGAGAATCCGTTTTCCGAGTATCTCTCTTCCGCGATCTATTCATACCCCCAGTCTGATAGTATAACTCATCGACATGACTATCGGAGCAACCTATCTTGTGTTGGCATAATTCTCCCATTCTAATATCGTCGTCTTCCGACGAATAAGGCTCTCTTTGAGGATATAATGCCTTGTCGTTATTTTCAAGAGTCGCTCGTTTGAAAATACGCCTTCGTGTGTGGGAGGACTCAACAGGCTCTTGGACTTCTACCCGCAGTCCAAGGCGAGTACTTACCGGTAATTTCTCCATAAGAGGGTTTCTTGACTTACTGGAGAATCGCGTACGACCCCCAGTCTGACGAACTATACGGGGTTCATCTTTATGCAAAGGCTTGAGACGATCTGTAATGCTTATTTTAAATCGGGACAAGTCCACGCTGCCGTGGGGTTTTACAGAAGGTGAGGAAGTCGCCGGAACAAAAACAGGAGCTGTTGGAGACTCAAAACTGGTCGCAGGAGGCGAAATTCCTGCAAACGGATGTGAACTGGCTTGGTGGTGACGCGAGTCAGCAAAAGGTGGCTCGGCCTTGGCCGAGCCAGTGTTTGGTGGCTCGGCCTTGGTCGAGCCAGCGTTTAGTGGCTCGGCCTTGGCCGAGCCAGTCGCTGCTGTGCCTGTTGGCGTCCTCTAGACTTCAGATCCGCTTCATAGCGGATTCCATCAACTTGCTCGGAGGCTTTGGCCAATTGACGTGCAAGGCGTTGACGCCGTTGTTGACGCGCCCTCTTGGATAAGGTCGGCTCGTTTTCAGTAGCAGCTTCAGCTTTGCAAGGTGCGCCTTGAGCCGCTGCGGGATGAGGTTCTTGGTTTTGAACCTTCAAATCCAAGTGTCCTCGACTTTTCCTCGTGGAGTTTCTCCTATTCCTACGAGGGGAGGATGATCGGGAAGAGGAGGATAAGTATTCTTCATACTTTGCCTGGTCGAACTCGTACTCGACCTCCTCGTTGATCGGGATGATGATCTTTGGTTGCGACACTACAGCTTTGGCAGAAAAGCTGTCGGCTCCCACTGTGGTCGCCAGTTTGTTTGTGTCAAAAGTTGCCTTTTCCATTATTTTCAAACCTGTTACACCGTTTATAGATTACAAGTTCAAACTGAAAGAAGAGATGATCTTTTTATAAGATCTTCTTACAACGAAAAATAAAGATTATAACTTTATCAAACAAAACGCAGCAGACTAGCAGTAGTTTATCTCCCGCTGCTTTGCGTGGGATCTTTGCCTGTGCCGGGGACGCGTTAGTCCGTGGACCACCGCAGATCAACCCGATAGACAATATAATTATGCTCTTGTTTCACGAAGGAAACAATTGCGGAAGCGACAATCACGACCAAACGAGATTGTGGCTCTTATCGAGATTAAAACCAAGTTTAATCCGGAGGAAAGAAGGAAAAAGAATCACAAACCTTTCGAAGGGGCTTTCTTTATGAAAGTATTCGCCAAGCTCTGATGATTCTCCTCTGAAATTCGTGGTTAACTGGACAATTTGACAACACCTCGCCTTCCCAATCTCAGATCCTAGATCTCCTTGAAAGAATACACTTGACTTTTATTTATAGGCCTTTGGAGATGTCCTTTTGAATAAGAATTTGTGTTTAAACATCATCTGCAGTTTATAACTGTCTAAACGTGTTTAGGGATAACCTCAAAGCAGTTGGAGAGGTTCTGGGACGAAAGAATCCTTAAAAATCATCGAAATCCGTGTTTGAGGAGGTTTTGTGTTCAGCAAGAGTCCTGATGACTCGGAACTATGCGAGTCACCATTTGGTGGCTCGGAACTATGCGAGTCACCATTTGGTGGCTCGCATGGATGCGAGTCACCATTTGGTGGCTCGCATAAGTGTGAGCCATCATTTGGTGGCTCGCATAGATGCGAGTCACCATTTGGTGGCTCGCATAGGTGCGAGCCACCAATTGGTGACTCGCGCCTACACGGGCCTCCAAGTGGTGTTTCGTTCACTTTTTTGATACTTTGGCGATTTGTAATTCTTCCAGTCCCCTTGTTTTGCGTACGCTTCATCGTTTCGATACTTTGTGCATTCTACTGATCCAATTCATACTCTTACTGATGTTGGATAAATTCCCTTGACTTGGATAAAAATGTTTATCGTCTTTTCCTTGTCTTGAACTGTGTTTAAGGACTTGTGGGTAATTTTTAACCCCTACAAACATCACTCAAAGAGAGATGAAGATGAGGACAAGAAAATGCAAGACCTTGAAAACAAAGTTAATGCTTTGATGTCCGCTCAAGAAGTAAAGAAGACGGGTATTCCGTGTCCCTATCCAAGAGAATGAGATTCAATACCGTACCCGATAAAATTCAATCTGATCAACTTCACACCGTTTGATGGGAAGAGCTCGCCTATTCAGCACTTGATTTATTTCAAGTCTCATTTGGGCATGATCTCTGAAAACGAGGCTTTAATGGTCCGGTCATTCGTTGGCACCCTTCGTGGGCCCACCTTCGATTGGTACCGACGTCTTAAGCCAGGGAGCATCAATTGCTGGGATAACATGGAAAGTTTATTCCTCAGCATTATCTTCGATGATGATACCGAAGTGTCAATCGGAACCCTTCTGGATGAGAAGCAAAAAGACGGAGAGTCAGTCGACAATTTTGTCAAGCGCTTCCGTAACAAGGCAATGAATTGTAGAGATCCTATTATAAAGGAGTTCATCCTGCAAACATGCCACAATAATCTCTCCATCGATGTCCTGGAAGCCCTGGGGTAGAGATGTTAAATGGGTGTGTATGAGTTTAAATGGGCGGGCCATAAATGGGCGGGCATGTTTTGCCCATTTACCCATTTATGGCCCATTTAACATTATTTAAATGGGCGAGTTTTTGCCCGCCCATTTAATAAACGGGTCGCCCATTTGCCCATTTAACTATAGTACATATATATGTATAATACTTTTGGGGTGTTTTTTGTAAACTTTTAGGGTTTTTTTTTGTAAACTATTGTGGGTTTTTTGCAAACTTTTTGGGAGCTTTTTGCAAACTTGTTGGGGCTTTTGATAAAATACTAACAAAGATAGAAATATAAACAAAGATAAACAAATGCAGACAAATTCATGATTGAACCATTTACAAGCCTGGATAAAAGTACAGACCTCACACATTTGCAAAATTAACCTCAAATTTCCAAACCAAAAACCAAAAGATCAATAACAACAAAATTGCGAGTATATTTAAATGAATTAAGATAGAAAACACAAGGTATGCAAGGATCTGTATAAGATCAATAACTTGATATAAACGCCATCATAACTATCAGCAACACGATCACGATTAGTAAGGACAATCTACTTAATTACTTGATAAACTAGAAGAGTAGTAAGTTCGTCTATAAACAAAATAGTAGCACAACCATAGTCTACTTATTTCCCATCTTTCAAATGTTCAGGCATGAACAGGATCATGACAGAAGAAAGAAAAGACCAGGAAACAAAGATCAAAAGGGAGGGATTTTACGAGAAAGTAAATCTTAGCCCCCAAATTGACAATGCTGCGACTGACAATAATCACAACGCAAGGAAACGGTATAAACATATTACAGAATCAACCAAAATCAACCAAAATAACTGCAGTTATAGACGTACTACTAGCTCACAAATTCAAGGTTCTCTGCAGCATCAGCAACAACTGCTTCGGCAGCAGCAGCTTCAGCAACTTCAGCAGCAGCAGCAGCAGCAACAACAACAGCTTCAGCAGCAGCACTTGCTTTCTCGTCAGAATTCGTCTGTGCCATTTATTGAACAAATTCAAGGTTCTCTGCAGCATCAACAGTCGGTTAACAAGATGCAAAGTTGCAAACAAAATGCCATTGAGCTCAAGAACAATGAAAGTTAGCAAGATGCCATTGCAAGTAACCCAAAATGCCTTTGAACCATGAGGACATCCATGAACAATCCCATCTTCTTTTCAATGACAATACCATGTCAGGATAAAGGAGAACATTTACATAGATAGCAGCAGTCAGGATAAAGGAGAACATTTACATAGATAGCAGCAGTCAGGATAAAGGAGAACATTTACATAGATAGCAGCAGTCATGATAAAGGAGAACATTTACATAGATAGCAGCAGTCAGCAGTTATGAATGTGAAAGCAGGAAAACAACTCAAACAGCCAACCCCAAAGATTTGTAGAAGGACTTTGTTCTTGTGCACGTGTAAGAACATTTGGGCACAAGTTAAAGTTTAGAAAAGAAAAAAGACAGATGCACATGAAAGTGGGCAAGTGTGTGTGCACTCACACATGGGCGAGCAGACACACACAGCGAGAGAGATCTTTAGCCTGAATCCCTATATCGAATCACTACAATGTATATAAAACCTTGTTTAACAAGACTTTTAGACCGAAAATCCAATGTTATTTTATGTTTTCATTATTTAAGTATATCACAAATGTCTGTGTGAGAGGTGGCAACAGCAGAAATGAAGGCAATTATCAATCTTGGTAGCAGATAACGAACAGAATGCATTAACATATATCATGATGCAGTATCAGAAAAAAGACTTTATATTCCTTACTGATCTAGAAAAGGAAATAATTGAAAACTTATTGATAAAAAGCTGAGAAGCTTCAACCTTAAGAGTCATGTAATCACGGCTCAGAATGTGTCTCCCATTCTTCCTAAATTTAATATCTGAAATTGAAGCAATGATCTCAGTAAAAAATGATCTTGAACCCGGGGCTTCATGCTCTTCAAACCTGTAGGGGTATGTCATCAGCTATGGCGGTAACAAAAGTAAAAACTTGAAATAAAAATTCAAATACTTTTAAGTAAGAACTCCATCGAAACACGTGGCAAATAATCTAGTGAAATGTAAACAAAAGCAATGGTTCACTTACAGCTTAGAGTGGTTATCGCACAAGGCTGATTGCCGCAAATCAATAAGCCGTATTGAGCCCTTAGAGCTACTATATGCTAATGTATTACAATGGGTAGGGTGGAATTCTGCGGATGTTATCACCTCTGCATTTTGAAGGAAATGTTATTCAGAATTATTTTATTACATCCACCAGACAGACATATTTCAAATATCTAAACCTCTATCAAATGCACTATTTATGTACTATAAATGCCTCTCTCAGTTTCATTGTTAAAAACTTTCTAGGAATATGACCCATCAAACTATAAAAATTTCCCCAATCAAATACTAAATGATAAAATTCTAAATTGTTTTACCATACAAAACACAGGCAAAGGACAGCCCGAAAACAAAAAGGCAAATGGCAAGGCAACTATCAGTCTATCACAAAGGAGAGGACAGCAATTGAGAAGGACAATGATCCAGCTACAACAAGCTCACAAAGTGGTGCTCTTGGAGTCCAAGACTTGGACTTTAAGCCAACCACACACGCATCAAAGACAACCACAAAAACAGGGAATTCTATCATTGATTACGACTGATTCGCTCCATATTTGCAGGATGCAAGAAATGCGCTTAAGATACATAGTAGAAAACAGGGAATTCTATCATTGATACTAAGGATCCAACCAACTTGTATAGATTTTTCTGCATACACTTCATTATAGTTTCTAATTTATTACTATATTGCATCCAAAGCATTACTAGCACCAGACTTAGGAATATAGACATTCTCAACATCTCTCAGATGATCCTAATCATTATTACTACGCTCTAACTGCTCAATATCAAACTGAAGACTTCAAGAGAGTGTTGACAATTACAGCATGGGTGGCTCTGGCTTCGAGAGGCGGTTGAGGCGGCGGAGGAGGAGGCAAAAATTGACTTCCCTACTTTTAGGAAAGTTTGCTTTCAAAACACAGTGACCTAATGAATTCTGCCACATTAACCGTCTCCCGCTATACTTAAGTAGAACTCCTTAAATATATCCTATTGTGCACAACAAGAGATCAAAAACTTCCAAAAGAAGGATAACTCAAAGAATGACAGAGGTGTACATATTCTAATTAATTAACCTGATAAACGTTCAATTCATGAGGAAGTCGAACATCCATGGGTGGGTACGTTGGCCAGTATCTGATAAACGTTCCAATTGTTGTGCTTTGCTATCTATTGGGAGTGGTTAGGCCTTGGTAATCTTAAAATTACTACTAATTGTTGGTAAAATTACTAATTCATATTCATGGATTCATATTGAACCATTCTAACTAGTAACTGTACTAAATTTTAGGGGATTTAGGTTAAGTTTTATATAACAAAATAAAATCTATTTCATAAGAAAAAGAAACAAACTTTAGGGCTTTGAATTCAAGAGAAAGGGGTATAACAAATACAAATTTTGCTCACTTATTTCTCTCTATTGTGATTATGTATATGTAGCAGTAATCCCTTCTTAGATAAGCATAATCTAGAGCAGCCAAGTATATCCGACAAATGAACTATAAGATTTTAAACCCTTTATATTCTCATAAAGAGTTTTATTACAAACAAATGAACTATAAGATTCAGCCTAAATTACAAACAATCAGTAATTCACATAGATTAGGAGGGTAAATTTGCAAATCGGTGGATTTGGATGGAATATACGCAAAGAACATAATTTATAATCCAGTAATAATCAACTACAAGAATTTCTTTTTTACGAAAAAATTTATACAATTGAACGATACTTATACGGAATCCAACTCTAACTACTAAATAAACAAGAATTGATCTTGAACATCAATAAAGGATCAATGAAACCCTAACTACATGATAAAGCTTAAAAATCACGATTTCTATGGCAACAAACAAATCCGAACCCTAAAGAATCGCAAACAAACAGATTCAAGACTAATTCAGAACAAGATCATCTCAAATTCATCAAAAAACACAGATTTGAGGAAAGAGAAGGAGAGAAGAAAGGGATCTAGGCGATTACAGCGTCTCCATCCTTGTCGAACAAGCTGAAGGCCTCCTTGAACTCCGAGATCTGATCTTCCGTCAGCTGATCCGCCATTGAGAGTACTGAGATCGATTGATCGAACGAAAGAGAGATCGAAAAAGAGAAGAGAAGTCGAAAACTTATCGTCAGCGACCGAAAGAAATGAGAAGACCGTCAGGCTTCGTGTTTTGGTTTTGGGAATACGGGTGGGCATATGGACGAATATAGACCGCCCGTTTAGTACCCATTTAGAATAGTTTGAAATGAACCCGCCCAATTAGACCCATTTAACTAAATGGGTGGGTTTTGGGCGGGCCAATTGATGGGCGGGTTAGGTGGGTAAATGGGTATGGGCAAAAATTGCCTTCCCTACCCTGGGGGTCGTACCATCCAAAACTTGGAAAGATTTAAAAATGCGCGGTGAACAAGCTGAACACTTTCTTAAAAGAAAGAAAGCTGAGAGAAGCCGACCGACGACATCTACAATCGCTAGGAACGCGACTCTCGATCCGAAGTTTCAAAAGGAGTATTCTTTCGAAAATGATGAAGCTCCAACTATATTGAAATACCTTCTCGCCAATGACAAAATCGAGCTACCACCTATTAAAGATCAAGAGGGAGCTAAGAGGATTACGGATCCAAACTACTGTGCGTACCACAGAAGGGTTCTTCATCCCACCGAGATTTGCTTCGGACTCAAAAACAAAATCCAAGCCTTAATTAACTCCGGCGTCATAACGGCGAAACAAGCCACGTAAAGACGACTCTAACTCCATTGGGTGCACGAGTATAAACTGTTTCCCCTCACTCCAAAGAGTATACGAGTATAAACTGCTCATCGATACTCCAACAGGTATATGAGTCAAAACTATTTCTTTTCTTTCACGGGAAATTCCTGGAGAGCACCATGCATGGTACTCTTAAGGATAACCCAATCATGTAGCTGAATATAATGATAAACCCAGTTTCGTATCTCGGAAGAATGGTATATGTAATTTTCTTAGGGATAACCCGATCATTACAAACAAAGTGATAAACACTACATCCCCACAATGATTTTTGAATACTCTTTTGCTGAGATGAGATTCGATCACTTCGTTGGATCAGTCTTCCCTTACAAAATTCTCATTTGGTCAAACCTTTAAACAGTTAGGACCAAAGCCAAAATCCCCTCTCGATTCCTTTCATGAACGAGAGGTCCACAAATTGAACGATCAAACCTTTAAACAGTTAGGATAGTCTCAAGTCCACATTTGGTCAAACCTTTAAACAGTTAGGACCAAAGCCAAAATCCCCTCTTGATTCCTTTCATGAACGAGAGGTCCACAAATTGAACGATCAAACCTTTAAACAGTTAGGATCGTCTCAAGTCCCCATTTGGTCAAACCTTTAAACAGTTAGGACCAAAATCAAAATCCCCTCTCGATTCCTTTCATGAACGAGAGGTCCACAAATTTAACGATCAAACCTTTAAACAGTTAGGATCGTCTCAAGTCCTCATTTGGTCAAACCTTTAAACAGTTAGGACCAAAGCCAAAATCCCCTCTCGATTCCTTTCATGAACGAGAGGTCCACAAATTAAACGATCAAACCTTTAAACAGTCAGGATCGTCTCAAAACACTCACTCCCCATTTGGTCAAACCTTTAAATAGTTAGGACCAAAGCCAAAATCCCCTCTCGATTCCTTTCATGAACGAGAGGTCCACAAATTGAACGATCAAACCTTTAAACAGTTAGGATCATCTCAAGTCCTCATTTGGTCAAACCTTTAAACAGTTAGGACCAAAGCCAAAATCTCCTCTCGATTCCTTTCATGAACGAGAGGTCCACAAACTGAACGATGAAACCTTTAAACAGTTAGGATCGTCTCAAGTCCCCATTTGGTCAAACCTTTAAACAGTTAGGACCAAAGCCAAAATCCCCTCTCGATTCCTTTCATGAACGAGAGGTTCACTAATTGAACGATCAAACCTTTAAACAATTAGGATCATCTCAAATTCTCATTTGGTCAAACCTTTAAACAGTTAGGACCAAAGCCAAAATCCCTTCTCGATTCCTTTCATGAACGAGAGGTCCACAAATCGAACGATCAAACCTTTAAACAGTTAGGATCGTCTCAAACCCCCATTTGGTCAAACCTTACTACAGTTAGGACCAAAACCAAAATCCCTTCTCGATTCCTTCAATGAACGAGAAGTCCACAAATCGAATGGTCAAACCTTCCTACAGTTAGGATCGTCTCAAAAATCCCACTTGGTCAAACCTTACTACAGTTAGGACCACAACCAAAATCCCCTTTCGATTCATTTCAAGAACGAGAGGTCTACTTTTGAATTGAATAATCAAACCTTATGACAGTCATGATTATTCAAACCAGTCCAGATTCTCTAAATGGAGATTCCACTTTGAGTTTCTTTTGCATCAGGAGATAGAATATAAAATTCTTAATTTCTGATTCTGGGTTTATCTCTACCAACAAACAAGAGACCAGGAGATGGAATATAAAATTATTCCTATCCGATCTACCAACAAACAAGAGACCAGGAGATGGAATATAAAATTATTCCTATCCGATTCTGGGTTCATCTCTACCAACAAACAAGGGACCAGGAGATGGAATATAAAATTATTCCTATCCGATTCTGGGTTCATCTCTACCAACAAACAAGAGACAAGGAGATGGAATATAAAATTATTCCTATCCGATTCTGGGTTTATCTCTACCTACAAAAAAGAGACAAGGAGATAGAATATAAAATTCTTCCTCTCCGATTTCGGGTTCATCTCTACCAACAAACAAGAGACTAGGAGATAGAATATAAAATTCTTCCTCTCCAGTATCGGATTCATCTTTTTACCAAAAAGACGTAACCCATCAACATTTTCAAATCCACATTTTATACGTGGGGGACGTTATCTCAATCCCTTATTAGAGATAAATTTACGTCTATCACACGTCGCCGGGTGGTACGTTCCCGTATTAACGACAAAGCCTATGTATTCAACATCATAGCACCAAGTCTAAGAGAGTTCATTCTTTTAGCACAACGTTACATACAGAATGGACTTAAACAATCTGCATGCTAGCCCGATTCAAACGGTAGTCGGTAAAGGCTCATCAAACCCGTTGATGGCTGAGGGTTTGCCAAAAATCCTATAAATATGATAATCACTCACGCACCAGCTTCATTAGTTGGTCTCGTGATTTGAGTATCCGACAAACTCAGGATAAAATCCATACCTGCAGATGAACCGACCTGAACAATTAGTCCTACAGCTTCGACACTCAGGACCGCTATGCTCCAACACCTTAAGAGCTTAAACTGTGTAGACTCCAGTAAACACACGAGGATAAACTGTGTTAACGCCTGTCAACGCGTCAATGATTTTTGCAAAAATAAGGCTAAAAAAAAGTCCAATGGATGATCTCAGGGGATTCAATTGCGATCCAGATATGAATTCCTAATGAAGACAATCAGTTCAACGACAAGAGCTAATTCACAAATCAAAACATCAGTTTCAGTTCAAGATTTTGACAACGGTCAAGCGATAAACACAGCACCGGAAGAGTTTTAGCTATTCTACAAAGCACTGAGTAGACTAAAAGATGAAGAAGTCAAGAGTTGAAGCCGTTCATAGGTTCTTCTACACGATCTCCTCAACTAAGTACTGAAGGGATTGCAAGTAAGACTCAACTTATCCAAAGTATCCCAGACTCCTTTATAAAAGAATGAGTCTGAGATATTTTAGAGGGGGTATTTGTAGACATCTAAAAATGTCTATAGGTATGAATATACCTATCTAAGTCAAAGGAGATCATCTAAAGTTAAAAGAAGCAAAGGAACATGTGAAACAACATAGAAGAACAATATGAACACCCACGACAATGAACACTGACGCGCATTTGCGTGGTAGTGGAAGGTGTTGTGCACAAACAGAGTGATATGCCTATGGGAATTTGTAGATATCTTCGATAGTTTTCCAACGCATCTTGGATCACCTCATTCCGACATCGGACGAGGAAGTTAGAGCCAAAATATCCGAGAGGTCGCAAACTGCATCCAAGGTGCGCGGCAGTGTACACTGCCGCGGAAATAGCGCGATAGTACAAGGTGACGCGTAAGTAAAGAGAGTGATGCGCCAACGGAAAGTTGTAGAGCTCTTCGATAGCTTTCCAACGTATCTTGGATCACCTCATTCCGACATCGGATGAGGAAGTTAGAGCCAAAATACCCGAGAGGTCGCAAACTGCATCGAAGGTGCGCGGCAGTGTACACTGCCGCGGCAATAGTGCGACAGTACAAGGTGACGCGCAAGTAAAGAGAGTGATGAGCCAATGGGAAGTTGTAGATCTTTTCGTTAGATTTCCAACGCATCTTGGATTACCTTATTCCGATATCGGACAAGGAAATTAGAGCCAAAATACCCGAGACAGCGCGAACGGTCTCGGAGGTGCGCGTCAGCAGAGACTGTCACGGAAATATATTGTACATTTAAACCATTATATGATCCAAATCTGAAGAATCTCAAAAGATAAAAGTTGTAGATCTCTTCATCAGATTTCCAACGCATCTTGGATCACCTCATTCTGACATCGGACGAGGGAGTTAGATCCAAAATACTCGAGAGGTGCGCGGCAGTGGTAACTGCCGCGGCAATGCGCGACACCAGTGTACACTGCCGCGGAAATAGCGCGACAGTATAAGGTGACGCGCAAGTAAAGAGAGTGATGCACCAATGGAAAGTTGTATAGCTCTTCTATAACTTTCCAACGCATCTTGGATCACCTCATTCCGACATCGGACGAGGAA